ACATCTGTTCACTTTTCTCTACCTCTTTCACTCGCTTATATGCAGGTAGGACAAACATAAGGCAGCTAACAAAATCATGGAATACTTCATTAAGATTGCAAAATGAGCTATAAGAGGCACATGAAATTTAAGCCAGCAGCCTTTCTTGGTTTAGTCTATTTTGGTGATTATTCATGAATAATGGTTTCTGGCTCTGACGATGTCCATCAAATAATGGACGAAAGGTCAGCACGGAGGCATCAGGGTCGTATGACGATGAGCCGAGGTCTTCTCCGTACAATTCAACAGATAAAATCCAAAGAAACCCTTGTTCGGTATGTGGTGAAGCCAAGCTATGAATCCCTTCCATCAGTCTTCTCAAATAACATAAAAGATATATCAGTATAAATCCACTAAAGCAGTGATTCCCAAACCGTGCGCCGCAAAATATTTCAAAAGCTTCATAATTAATTTAACCCAGACATTTGGCCTAACTAAACAAAAACGTAAGAGAAAACGCTGTCATCTCGATCGCGCCATATGATCGCACTGGACACGTCGAGGTGCGTAGAACCTTCGCGACAGATTTGGAATGTTCTGGAAGATCTTGCGGAAAGTATATAAACAAGCGTTGCCGGCTCGATTCAGTCAGCCGACTTATAATTTGAGTCTAGTGAAGTTAAACTCAGCGCTTAATAAATAAATAAAACAATGATATAAATTAGTAAATGAGTTCATATTATTATTTAGTTAGTGTTATATTACTTCTTATTTGTTGTCTTTGATAAATTGGAATTGACAGAATTTTGGATTTCAATAAGAGATGATAATTCCCTTCTAAGTGATAAGGCTCAGCGGATTCTAATTCCATTTTCAACGTCGTATTTGTGCGAAGCTGGGTTTTTGGCGGTCGCTGTAATAAAAAGCAAGTATAGAGCAAAAATCAACGTGGGAAAGGAAATAAGGGTGGCCGTGTCCAGTTTAATTCCACGATTTGAGAAAATGTGCAGTGATTCGCAGGCTCATCCATCACATTTATTATTAAATATTAATTTAATGTTAATAAAGTAACAAAAATAATCAAGATACCCGAATTTTATTTATTTTTATCTCTTACTTACAAATAGTCATACTTAGGGTAGGGTGCCGTGAAAAAAGTTAAATTGAAAAAGGGCGCCGCGACTAGGAAAAGTTTGGGAACCACTGCGCTAAGGGATTCTTCGAAGCCTAGCTTCTCTGCATATTTGAACATTTTATTGCGTTCCGCTACGTGTTTTAAGAATATTCTTTATCATTTAAATGTTGACATTTTTTTAAGTCAAGATTGCAAGTTATTTTAGTGACCTGTCCTAGTCACTTGTCCCTACATTAATTAACATTGTTTTAGGCCATTATCCAGAACCAAATCAAAAGTTGATGTACACGCTTAAGAAAGAATATCTGAGTGAGATGACGAAGGAAAGTAACTTCTTTAGTTTTGCGAATACCTTTCTTCATTACGCACTATCAGTATACCTCAACCTTTACACTATCTTTTATCTGTACATTATTCAGATCTCTACAAATTTCCGTGGATCGGCATCCTTTTCTAGATTAGGTTGGGATCCGTACCTCGTTGTAGATAAGATACCGGTTTTGCCTCGATGACTTTGCGTTTTGTCATTTTTATATTCATACAACCTCTTTTTTAGTAAATAAAAAGGCTGAATTACTTGTCATCTGATAAAAGACTAGGTAACAAACTAAATTTAATAGCATTACCCACACAAACATTATATTTTTTCTCGACCTCGTTAAAATGTATGTGGTTTAGTTGGATTAAGCCTAATTTCGTTTAAAAAGATAGCAATTCTTCGGCTGCCGATGAGGCAAACTTAGGAATTTCTTCCACTGAATCTTCAAACGAATTGAGAAGTATGAAAAAAAACTGGGTTCATAAGAATTCCTTACTACTATATTGTGACATGAATTTCCATTTCGGAGGAAAAGTTGGCTGAAAGGAGTTTACTATAGAGTTAGAAAAGGAAAATTAATTGTCTTTTTTTAGATGTATTAATAAGAAAGGAAGGTAATAAGTTAGATAAAGGTGTGCAGAGAAAACCCACACACTCGGGGTTACTTATTAATTTCTTCTCTAACCATAGAGTATAAATGTGAGCCATGAAATTAATGGTAATAAGGAGTCTACGTCTAGCAGACGTAAACCATAGTTATAATGAGATCGCTCCCTGTCTCAAAACAATTACTCATGAAGATTAAGAGATGATTATATTTCAAGTGTCACTAGCAAGATGAGGGGAGACAGTTGGACCATCCTACTCGGTTCCTGATTTTGGCTTCCTGTCAGCTTATGAAAAAGTTGGGTGGTGTACTAAGGAAGTGGTATATCAGAACAGTTTATAAAGAGAAATTAACACTTTTTTCAGTAGTTCTAGATCAGGCTGCTAAAAGGTTTTGTGTTCACATTGTAATGTCTATGTGGGAGAGACTTGCCGGCACATCCAGAAGAGACTATGCAAACACAAAACCACTTGTAAAGGTATTTGGGTTCCAAAATTGGAGCTCGCTGTATCATGGCTAATAAAGGACAATCTATAGACTGGTCCAAAACACAACATTTTGCGGGTTCCGGGGATTTGACATCAAAGCTGGAGATTAGGAGTCTATAGAAATTGATAAAGCAGCCATCGCCTCGAATAGGAAGAACGAATGTAGAAAATTGAGTAGGAAGTATTTGTGGTTGTTGGATAGGATCAATGAAATGGAGGGCTGAAAGAGTCATCTAACATGAGGAGGTTGCATCATACTCGAGTCTAGCTGGGACTATCACGTCTCAGGACATTGACAATATATTAACATATATT